GTCTTTGCCAAAAAAAAAGTTCAGGTTTTCTTTCCGGACCCCACTAGCATCCCTGTATAACATTTGTGGTGCTTTTACTGTATAGAATGGGACTATTAGGTTGCCTGCTTTTAAATATTCTTGCTGCCCCTCAATGGGAATGTTGTAATTCTCATAATTTATGACTTGTAAAAATACATTATCTGTAAAATTCACAATTTTCCCCATTGAAAAGATCAAGTCATTAACATGGTTGTTCAACATTTTAAACATCTACATACTTATCTACAACAGCTGTTTTGTTTGAATCCTTGTTCATTAGTCTACATTTTGTGAAAAAAAACACGCATAAACTGGGTATGTTTGGAGAAATGGGCATTTTCTTTTGTTTTATAGGCAAATTATGTATTGAAGTAGACCCTACAGTAAAGATTGCTTTTATATCAGAAGATTTGTGCATAGGATGTGGTATATGTGCTAAGGTAAGCTGTAGCATTGAATTTTTGTAAAATCTTTCTGGAGACCTTTATATTGATTGTCTTTTTTAATACTGAGAAAAGTTTCAATTGTCACAACAACAAAGTTTTGGAGAGGTGGTGTGTTGGCATATTTTTTTTTAATTGGAATATTTAGGAGAGATCTTCTCCATAAAGTGGTCATTGATAAAGAAAAAGCATTAGAAAATCTCCATTCTGTACAGTTTATAATTTATACTGTGCACTCCTTGTAACTCAAATACTTTGAGTAATGCTATGAATTAACTTAGGGAAAGTTCATATTGATTTTAGCTAATACCAAAAGAAATACATTTCACAACATTTTTTCCAGATGACATGAATTTGAGTTGTCAGATGACCAGTTTCTATAAGTCTGAAAGAATTACCTTTTAGTGCCTGAATTTTCTGTTTTAAAATGCATTTGTTTCAGAAATGCCCCTTTGAAGCTATTAACATTATCAATCTGCCTAGTAACTTGAGCAGCCACACCACTCACAGATATAGCGCCAATTCTTTTAAGTTGCACAGGTAAGTTTTTAACTTCTTCAAGTGTAGTAAAATGAACTCAAGATTTGTGGTCATATTAGATGAGAGTATTAGAGAAGTTATTATTGATTCATCTCTGGTCAATTTATTTTTCACAGAGCTGTGATTTTTTGTATGGTCCATTGAACAAAAGTGGCTGCTTTACTTTTAAGAACAGTTAAATCTAGATAATCTTTAAGAGAGCAGACATTGCTTTCTGAATATCTTTGCCTTATGTTTATAATCCATGTTTACAGACTACCCATTCCCAGACCTGGGGAGGTGCTTGGGTTGGTAGGAACAAATGGAATTGGAAAGTCCACAGCACTCAAAATTTTAGCTGGAAAACAGAAACCAAATCTAGGAAGATTTGCAGTAAGTTATTGGCCGTTTTTTTTTTTTTTTTTTTTTTTACCCACATGCAATGGTACACATTGACAGTGGTAGACATTGCTGGAACTAAATACTTAAATTGCTTCATTATTTGTATGGAATATTGCTGTTGGAAAAGAAACTCTGCAAATGTTTCCTAAAATCTATCTTACAGGGGAGACATGAACTAGCACTATGCCATTAAATTTTAACTCTGCTTAAATCTTGAATTAACATTATTCAATCCCTACCCTTAGGACCCTCCAGATTGGACAGAAATCTTGGCTCATTTCCGTGGCTCAGAGCTACAAAATTACTTCACCAAGATCCTGGAAGATGACATCAAAGCTGTCATGAAACCACAGTATGTTGACCAGATCCCCAAAGCTGTAAAGGTAATAAATAGTAATGATATTGTTGAAGAGGAATAAAATGCAGTGTGTATCCACTGTTATTTTGATCAGAATATGCTGTCTTTAAACATAGTTTGGATTCTTGGTATATTGGCTAATTGCTGACTTTTAAAAGTGAAAAATAGTCATTGTTAATGTTTATACATATTGTTTTCACAAACGGGGTGTAGGCGTGAGAGGTTAATTTAATTAACTGGTGTTATTTTTCCTGAGGTGGTGTCATCATGTGATCTACAAATCTACCAAAAATGGTCTAAATTTGGTGAGAAATTGCAAGTTACATTTTCAGGGTTTTCAGTATTTTACAAATTTTACCCATGAGAATGTCTCTTTTCCTAGGGATCAGTTCAGTTTCTACTTGATAAGAAAGATGACCTTGGTGTCCAAGATACAGTCTGCACAGAACTTGGTAACTGTTTCTTTTTCTTTTTAAGTATTTGTTTCTTTGTAGTGTAGAAAAAAATTTCATGCTTTTGCTCTTGATGTAGTGACTTCACACAATGGCAATGGGGGTTGTCAGGTCAGTGGAAAGAAATAAAATTACCACCATGTAGTGGACAAAACATGATGTTTTCTTAATTTGACTCTAAATGTCTGCCATGACCCCCCCCTTTCTCTGTTTCTCTTTCCCTGCTTTCTCTTCCCTCCCCATCCCTACACACACACACACACCCACACCCACACACACACCCACCCACCCCCCACCAATCCTGTTAAGTGTATCACTGAAAGCTGGGTAGATTTAATATCCATCCATCCTCATATAAGGCTGCTCTATTCACTTACTAAATTAAAAATATATTTATTAATATTATAGATCTCCTGAATGTGAAAGACCGCAATGTGGAAGACCTGTCTGGTGGGGAGTTGCAGAGGTTTGCCATTGCCATGGTGTGCATACAGAAAGCAGACATGTAAGCACAACCTAGTTTTATTTCCCCCTGACATGTGAGCTGCTGTTGATCAGTTTAGCTCATGCTACAGCTTGATCACTGAGTGATATGCTGTATCAATGCAATATTTAACAGTTATTATGCATGAAAAATTCATACTAATATTAAGATTCCTGCAGTTATGAATTGCATTTCAAGGGATTATTCAAAATGAATGTTATCTATTCTTCAAGTGATATATAAACACAGAAACTTATTAAAAAGAATCCATTTCCTTTTCCTGGGTTTCAGATTTATGTTTGATGAACCCTCATCCTATCTGGATGTCAAGCAGAGGTTAAAAGCTGCCATAGCGATAAGAAATCTGCTTGAGGCCAACAAGTTTATTATTGTGGTAGAACACGACCTGTCAGTTCTGGACTACCTGTCTGACTTTATATGTTGTCTGTATGGAGTCCCAGGGGCCTATGGAGTAGTGACACTACCATTCAGTGTCAGGGAAGGTGAGAGGCAATGTCTGTGATTAAGAGCAGAGATATGAGGTGTGGGTGTGGAGGGAGGGGGGGGCCTAATATCAGGACACTTAATTGTGACCCAGTGAAACCCTTATAATATGGTCACTTCAGTTTGGCAAGGGGATTTGGGCTAGATTGAGTACAGAGAATCTTGTTATGTTTTGCAACAGCCATTGAGAGATGATTTCACCTTGTCTATGACTGAGAATTTCATGTAGTTTTTGGTGTATCTTTCCAGGAATTAATGTTTTCTTGGATGGCTTTGTACCAACGGAAAATCTCCGTTTCCGAGAAACTTCACTTGTTTTCAAAGTAGCTGAGACAGCCTCTGAGGAAGAAATAAAAAGAATGTGTCACTACAGTTATGGAAGAATGGTGAAAAACATGGGTAAGATTGGAGGTTTAGTTTTTAATGGAAATTATCTGCCTATATTGGTGATCAGTTGTACAGAAAGTTTTTTCCCTTTTTCAGTAAGGATTTAATTATATTTGTCTTCCTTAATTATCATCTTGAAAACTTAGAAAATGCTTCCCCATTTCTCAAGGTCACTTTTTGTTAGAATTAGAAGGACACTGCACTGTTTTCAAGGTAATGTCAATGGATGTGTGACTGAGGGTGAGTATTCTAATTATTCAAGCAAAATATGTAATAGCTACGTCTGTTTCCAGGTAACTTCCAGTTGACAGTGGAGTCCGGGGATTTCACAGACTCACAAATAGTGGTGATGCTGGGAGAGAACGGAACAGGAAAGACCACTTTCATCAGGATGATGGCAGGGTCTTTGAAACCTGATGATGGAGGTCAGTTCAGACTTAAGTGATTTGTATTGATGATTATTATTAAGTTTTGATGATTGAGAAAATAAGTTCTTAATTACTGTTTGATTAATTCTAGTTGTTGTTTTCAATGTAGATTATGTCATGCACTGTCCTTCTGTTGTGTCCTTCTATTCCCTTTTGAATGTTTTTTATGTAAAAAAAAAGTTCTGATTTTTAATCATATTACTTTAGGTGGTTTCTATTTTGAAAGATATGTCACTCATCAAATTGCAATTTTAATTGGAATATTTTAATAATGATTAACAAAAAAATTTACAGAAATGCCACCAACAATGAATGTAAGTTACAAGCCCCAGAAGATAAGTCCTAAGTCACAAGGCACAGTGCGCATGCTGCTACACAATAAGATCCGAGATTCGTACGTTCACCCTCAGTTTATCACAGATGTCATGAAGCCTCTGCAGATAGATCAGTTGTTGGACCAGGAAGTGAGTGGACATGCATGGCCGCACGTACACATGACACAGCTGTATTTTTATTTGTCTTAACATGATCAGTGCAACTTGAACTTCGTATGGACTTATTCATGGGTTGGCCAGCCCATCCCTTCAATTCAAGCTCAATTGTGATGCATATGGAGGTCCCCCACCCCACCCCACACACACGCACACTCATTCCAATGAAATAATGATGTTAAATTTCATTTGTTATTTCATAATTATTTCAAATATTGCTGTACGTATTGTTCAGGTTCAAAACTTGTCTGGTGGTGAGTTACAACGAGTGGCTTTGACCTTGTGTTTGGGAAAACCAGCAGACGTTTACTTGATAGATGAGCCATCTGCCTACTTGGATTCAGAACAACGTCTGCATGCAGCTAAAGTTATTAAAAGGTATGTAATAAAAAGGATATTTTTTCACTTAGGTTAGTGTAGTTTTTTTTTTTTTTTTTTTTTTTTTTTGTCAACAAGGTAAAAAGTAAACAAAGCAGTTTTTCCTGTTCTCATGACAGCTACTATTTTGAGACCGTCTTATTCTGGACCAACTATTGTCTTTAACAGTATTTGTCTTTGTACCTCTGGTGCAAAGGTTTGCATCTTAAACAAGTTACTACAGGATGAACATTTCAAGCATACTGTTTTATTTACAGATTCATTCTTCATGCAAAGAAGACGGCGTTTATTGTGGAACACGACTTCATAATGGCCACATATCTAGCTGACAGAGTGGTCATGTTTGACGGGGAACCCTCCATTAAAACCAGAGCTAACACGTAAGTTTCAAAGGACAATGAAGATTGAGCAATAATACATGAAACATTTATTGTCTTAGTGCCAGATCTCTGTATTGGTTAATGGTGTTAGCATTCTTTCTTATGTACTGAGTGAATATATTGACAGAAATCTGCATTTCAGCCTCCAGGCACCATTTTGAGTCAGAGTTTACTCTGTAGGTTGAAATTAAATATTACATCTGCCCTGTGTTTTAGCCCACAGTCACTGTTGAATGGCATGAACAAGTTCTTGGAAAGCCTGAACATCACCTTCAGAAGAGATCCCAATAACTTCAGACCAAGAATTAACAAACTCAATTCTGTCAAGGTAAATGGGCCTATTTTTATGTTGCTTGCGGAATGTGTGTAGTGTTTAATTAAATTTAATATGACAAAGAAAATGGATACTAAATGGAACTGTGAAATTTGAAATGATTTGAAAAAAAAAAACATTCTAATACATATTATATGCCTTGCATGTTGAAACTTTAACATATCTGATTTTTTCTATTGTAAAACAGATTGGCTTTCATTATTTTTACATGTATATATATATATATATATATGTTCTTCTTATCTAGGATTCGGAACAGAAAAAGACAGGAAACTTCTTTTTCTTAGAGGACTAGATGGAGGAACTCAGTGGAACCAGCCAGTAGAAGAAACCCATGTAATCTATAAAAGATGATAAACATAAATTGATGCATTTTATGGGGGCATTTGTCAACAGTGCCAGGATCATTTGGAAATATTTATTGTTTAAAGAGACTGGTTGAAAAATTATACAAATACAGGATGTTCCAAAAATGTACTCACTCTTTGCTTGCCCATAATTAAATATTTTTGTTTTGATTTAGATGTTTATTGGCATAAGTGCAAGTTCAGTGATTTTAATTGAAGAAATCAACATCAGAATAATAACATTAAAACATAGCAGCATGGAAACTAAAATAATCTCAAAAACAAAAATAAGTTAGAAATTGGCATTCAAAGAGTGAGTACATTTCAGGACACACAATGTAGTAAGTGATATTTGTTTGCCTTGTCTGTGTTGTTTTCAAATAATGTAACCTGGTCAGGGCAAGGAAAATAAAAACTTTGAATTAATTTTATTGACAATTATAACATGGTGTGGACCACTAAAGGGGACCTGCATCAGAAACATGTCGACCTCACAAAGCTTAAGTACAATTATACCGTTCTGTTTAGTACGTCATCATGAAGTCTCATGGAAGAAGAAAGATACTGAATCTTTTTGTTATTTTCTACCGCTATATGCAGTGTTTATTGAAAATTACAAATGAAAAATTGTAACAAAGAAAGTAACATCTTGGAATATGGTGTGGATTTTTGATTCTTTGAGTTTTATTTTCAAGATTTTGGGTTCAAAACTCTGGCTGATTTTTTTTCTACAAAACCAACGTGCTGCCTGCGTCACAAAAACTGAGAGTTTCATACCGGCTGTCTTAAATTAAAACAACTATTTGAAGTAATCCGCTATTGTGCACAACAAAATGATAACATTAACAACCCTAGGCAGAGCACGGCGGTAAGTCGCTTTTACCCTGTACACGCTCTCTGATACCGTCCGGCATGTAACATTTCGTGCTGGTGATACAGGGTTTCCACAGCTTCGTGAAACGCGGTGCAATAGCTGAGCCATATTTTAAATGGGTAACCTGACGAAACTATTTTGCTTTCATAGCAGGTGTCGATGGGTTGCATTTGCCAAGACTGAGCAATGGCCTATGTACAAGCACCTGCAGGTCCTGGTCATAGGTTAAAAGGCTAGAGCAAGGGGTATCCCGAATTTTCAACAATATTTAGTTGTTACCCAAAACATATTGATTTTCAAGCTCGAAAACGACATTCTTATTTTGGTTTAATTCGAACGACTGTGCACTTGTATCCCTTGCATTTCCATTTTGCGCTATTTTCGAGCTTCAACTTTTCATAACCTAAAATGCGTCAACGTGACTCGGAATGTAAGGACGGGCTATTACAAGGCAAATAGGGGAATGAGGATTGTTTTAAGCCCGTGTACTGCCCATTTAAGTAAGGTTATTAATGGGCCATCATTGCAGCAACAGACGTGCGTATAACCTTTATAAGCAAGGAAAATGTATTTCTTTCGTGTAAAAAAGAAATTATTAAAATGGGAGAATATTTCAGTTTTGAAAAATGTGGTGTTCCTCAACTTAATTGCATTCTCCGATTCCATTCCTGCTTGTATATACATAACAGTGTTGTAATATGCAAAAGGTACTCTGCCGCTAGCTATTAAAATCTCCGTTGTAAATTGCTTTGCCAGTATCACTGAGATAAGAACGGGACTAACTCCTTTCATGTCGAAGCCAAAAGCACTTTTGATTTCGTTTGTACAGGGATATACTGCTCTCTCTCGGTCAATTTTCTTCTTAGGGCATTAAATAAGCATTCGTTACCGCCTGCACTTTATCAGTCCATGAAAATATGCTTTCTGCAGGTCGTAAAAAGAAATGTATCTACACTCCTGTTAACAGTCGCTTAGTACAGATAAATTACCTGATACTGTAGATAGTTAATTTAGTTTCGAGGCCTTACTTAACGATAGGCGAGTGTTCTTTTAGCTTGGTTAAGGATATTCGCTTTGCCAATAATAAGCTTAAGGCTTCGTTCACATGCAATGTCTATTTTCTATTTTCTATTTTCGGTATGTCTTATGATCACGGTCTGTGCACTGAATATCCCGCCGCGTAATTACTGGCAGCGCGAGCCAGTTACTTATAGTAGCTTATAGTAACTGGCTCGCGCTGCCAGTAATTACGCCTCGGGATATTCAGTGCACAGACCGTGATCATAAGACATACCGAAAATAGAAAATAGAAAATAGACATTGCATGTGAACGAAGCCTAAATCTCGCCACAAAACTTACCGACTACTTGAATAAAATGTATTTATTTATTTATTTATTGCAAATGTATAAACTCGTAAAATACGGATTTGGGTTTAGAGTAGTTTATTATTGCACAAGCCGTAGCGTATTCAGGTATTCATGACTGTATGTTCAAAAATAGTTTGTCCAAGTCTCCAAAGCCAGAGCCCTAGCTAATTTCTAATGTCTCCGTGCCACAAGATAGAGCCAAGGGTCATCTGTCCATGTTGACCCGTATATCAGTATGACACTGATGTCGTCCCTATCCATTTAGGACATTGCTGCACGTAGAACATGAATAACTATGCACACAATTGGGCCACTGGTGTACAAGAGTCCTCACAATAAATGCGTATTTTATGTCGCATGAGCTGGCTTATAAAGGTGTAAATGTGTTGTAAACTCTTATTTATATCTCAAATTTTACTCGCCCTGAGTTTCACAACGTATTTGGATTTGTTATCATCTTGAGAGCGTAATTTAACGTCAGCAATCTGAAACTCGGGATAATTTAAATTGACTTGGCTTAGAAATGTCAAGGAATTTCATAGAACTGACGATCTCTAGTCTGAATACGCTTTCCGTCCTCGATGTTGAGATCAGAAACTGCTATCGCATGTACTGATAGACTGTACAACTCAGGGTGATTTTTGGGATTTCCTGTGGATAAGGTGACGGATGAAATTAAATACTTTTTAAAAGTAAATCAGCCAAGTCAATGTAAGAGGATGTCTATAGGGATACTTGATATTGCACGTGGAACGCACTGATATCCAATTTGGTTAAATTGATGAAATTCGATACTCACAGACAATTAATTCATGTATGTATATACATCATAAAATAAAATAAATATGTGCATACAGGTGCGTTAACGTATTTAACGCTTAAAATCGTATAGGAATTCCTTTAGACGCGTTTAATAAATTTGCCAACCACTGGTTGCTATCGTCCAAGTAAACATCCTCCATAGGAAGACCGCTAGCACCCGTCCTCTTTTTCCTTTTCATGAATTCGGAAAATATATCATTGAGAACTACCCATAAAGCGGGTTCCACCCTTGCAACGATTGTCTCCAAGTCTTTCCTATACTTAAACTTGATCACAGCTGGAGAAACTTGGTCCCTGTCCTGGAAATCTATTCTAGGGTTCTGGCACTCTGGGAATTCGTTTGGCCATAGTTGTCGAAATACGGAGTACGTCAGGAGTCCGGAGTCTTTACGTAGGAGAGGGTGGTAGTTGAAGGCTCCTACTGCATATATTGCCACTGTCCCCCCATAGGGTAGTGGAGGAAGCGCCATGTACCGAGTGGCTATCTCTTCATCCGTTGGGATGCGACCGTCGCTGGGAAATGGGTCGAGTAATACATCTCCATTGGTCATTTTGCTGGAAATAATGTGTAACCTCAGTCATTGCTCATGTATGTTTTACAAAGAGAGAGAGAGAGAGAGATGTGAGAGTCAATCCCGTGAGAAAGGATCATTACAAACCTTGTACTCAGATAACATCTACCTCAGTGTATTTCATAGTTCGCATGTCCCGATTTCTTGGCTGGCCTACACAGGTCTTTAAATAAAGTAGGTAACAAGACATTAAGGCGAAAATAAAACAATTCACTTACGTTTTAGCGTTACCTTTTTCATACTGTTTGTTGAACATATACTTCAATTGTTTTGAGGTTTGTATAACTTCTTTTCAAATTCCCGTTGCATGGGCCGATATTTTTAGGAACCCGTTCCACTCTTAATCGACATTTTATTCTGGATTTAATGGCACAATACTTATCGCAATGTAGTTATTCAATTGGTAAATGTTGGGGGAAAACATTGCCTAAGCACAGGCTATATATAGTCACAATCTATATAATGGTCACAACACCTGTAATTCACATTAACCAACACAACAGATACAGCGATGGGGACTGTGGGCTTGCAGTAGGCCGCCTTGGCAACCCTGAGTTTCAAAGGACTGACATTGAAAACTTGCATCTCTTTGCTGTAACATATGCCGCTACCGATGCGACGGATAGCGTGTGCGGGGAAATCGCCGCAGTCAGTACGAGTTCATAAATTCAGGTATAGGTTTTCGAGATCCGAATTTTACACGGGGTCGGGAAGGGGGTGGGTCGGGGATTATTATGGGTAAATACCTGTACTTTCCATGGAAAATCTGTATGTAAAGGACATTTTAAAGTTTTAAATTTCAGTTGGGGGGGGGGGGGGGGAGCACATTTCCGTATATTGCCTACGCCTGGTGATACTAGTTAACGTGTATCCTGCCATTACACCTGACAGACATGTATTCTTTAAAAAGACATTTCTGTACCTAATTACTTCAGATTACTTACCAAAGCGTCTTTTCATCCCTACATGGTTCCCATATTCCTGTGGACCCTTTTTCTTTCTGCGAAACACTTCTATCCACGTCAGCACACTGTAGGCTTAAGTCGTATCTGAAGAAATGACTGAGTTAATACGTTTCATGACCCTAGATAAAAAGCCAAAAGTTAACCGCAGCACTGAGTGAGTTAAATCAAGCTTCAGTGATACAGGGGGCGTTTCAAGAACGGGCGATATGCTATGATAGGCGACTATACTAATGTCAACTTTAAAGAACATAGCCGTACATCATTTCGGTCACTCTGAGTATCGAATAAAAACGCATAAATGAAGATTGAATACTGCTATTCTCTTATGTCCCAAAGGTCCCCAAATAGTTCAGCCTATACTAGATTATGGCTAGTTTGGTATATCATCTCAACTATAAAATACTACTGCTTTCATGCAGAGGTGCTGTGCAGAGTCTTCTCCCATTTATTTATGTTTACAAACATGTCACTACACCTGTTAGGTATATACAGGTACCTCCTCTGAGTTGACATACCTGATGGTTTACGCTTTGTGAGCACCATGTATTTCATGTCAAGACACACTCCTGCCTTATCGTTCTAAAAATGCGTCGAATAGCAAGTAATGAATACTGTGCGTGACAAAAGCATTTATTGAATGGTGGTGAACTAGGCATGCGTATCGAGACGGAGTAAAGAAGACGCTTCTCTTTGGAGCAAGAGATGGCCATCAGTACCAGTAATGAGAAAGGTGTCACCAAGAGCCCTCGGTTGACAATGCGGGTTTACAAACGCTCTTTTCCTTGGACGACCGTGATAATTTGGATTTTGACTGTGGTAATATACAGTATGTACCTGTAAACGTAGATTCACTTCATAGTCTACAAAAAACATTCGACATCGTCCTTGTATAATAATTTCCCGACTAAGGGGACTTGCCCCCACCCCCACCCCACTTACACATAAACACACACACACCTCTTATTTTTTTAACCAATGTATTCACACAAAAAATAACGCTGTGGCACACTTGATAAATCTAAAATCTATTAATAACTTAAAACAAGATATGACCTCAGCAAGTAAGTAAAACTGGGAACATGCAGGGAAAGCATGTTACTCATTTCCTGTGCCACGTTTCAAAGAAACAAAAACGCACTGCTGCAGTACGGCAAAACTGAATCATTAGACTAATAGGTAGTGTTTTTGCAAGGGAGCATAAGACTAATTATGTAAACTAAAAGGAATCGGAATAACAAGGGGGAAACACAAAAAGGACTTGTTTTAGAACTATGATCAGTATGAGAGGTTGTTCTGAATAAAAACAAAAGACTGCTTATATCTTTAAAAAAGTGTAAATGCTACTTAAAATACACACACACACACACATTGGATTTTTTTTAAAGGAAAACGAAAAAAAAACAGGTCAAGAGCGAAATTCTAAAATAGGATATTAAAATGGTAAAATATACTGGCCTATGTATATGGGTGAAAAGTGAATTGGAGTGCGAAAAGGTTGAAGTGATTTTTCTACTGATTTTCCTGTACACTAATCCATATGGTCGCAGTAATAATAATAATAATAATAATAATAATAATAATAATGATTTTATTAACGTCTCACGTTTTAAATAAATAAAACCCACCCTACTAAGAGTTATGAGAGACTAAAAGCTGTGCTACTGCATTTAACATTCATAAAAGTTCATTAAAATTGTTACTTATCAATAAAATACATAAAAAGGATATTATAAATAAAAGTTTTCAAACATTCTCTTTGTTGTAAGCTTTGCTTCTTTTCCACATCATTGTGTGTGCTTTTTTCGCTGTATAAAATTGTATTTGCTCGTTTCGTAGAGACCCTGCGCGTGGAAGAGAGAGAAAGGGAAATCCCCTAGTCAGCTGACCTCACCTCTGTTTTTAGTCACAGAAAGACGCGGGATTTTGCCACCTGGCAGTTAGTGCAAGTATACTCACAGGTATGATTGAAGCAAGTCTATTCTTAAACAAGGCGTTTGATTAGTTTCGTTGCTGAATATATTTCTAGGAATGTTAACTGTCTGTTACATAGAACGAACTTGCGTTAGTTGCAATTTAGATAAAACGACGCACATAACCGATGAGGTGTGTAGGCCTACATGAATATCTGTGAGTGTCCATTATACCTAGTGCCTAGAGAGGATATGCGATTAGGTATGTACTATATGTACAATAATGTGTATATGATATATTTACACCAAAGAAACAGCGGTTGCTACTCATGGCATTGTACAACAAACGTTTTTGTTCAGCAAGACAAGAAACAAAATGGCAGATATGACTCTATTCCAATGCAAATGAGGTCGCATTTATTTGCAGACGGGGGATTCCCCTTTTATTGTTGAACGTAACCATACCTATAGCAAGAAAGATTTGTTTTAGCATACACTTTCGATACCAGCGGAAATAATGCACTGTGTTCTTGGTAATGAGAGTGAAATTGTAAAACAATTTGTTCGCGAGAAGATAGTCTTATTGAATCTTCAAATAGTTTTACTGAAAAATATTCATGAAGAATCAATTCTATCCCAACAGTTCATGTTGTAACAGGAGGAGGGAAATTGCATCAGAAGAGGTATAAGTATAACCAAAGAGTGAGTAGAAATTACCGACAGCGTCAGTTGTGACCCAATCTGGACGAAACCGTCTACAGGATTGGAAAGTAAGGATCTAATCATCATGAATATTTTTTTTTACTAGAATGAAGTTTCAAGGAGGAAAACTCAATGGGACTAAGTGAAAGTGCATGTAGTAAAGGATCAACCATCGAGAAACTATGATGTCAAAAGATGAGAGTTTGCCCAAGCCAAAGCCGAGGACTCTTCAAAATGAAAGGGGACATATTGATATCACATCTCTGTCCATGGAAGACTTTATCTTCCCAGACATTGAAGAAAATACGTCGCCGTCAAAAGATGGTCAAGTTATCCATTCAAAGGTAAATGACTTCAGTATTACAGTTAGTTAATAAATGATGTTTCTTAGGCTTGAGAGTCTTTCATATTTTGTTGAACGCGGGGTCAGGCATGTGGCCTGGGAATGAAAGGGGAACCTATTTCATTTTGCTTAAAAGGACCCAATGTAGAAGTGCAAATGCGGTTACGGGCTTGCTCTTAAAAATATTAAGTTCACAGATTGCAAACTATGATGGATTATTTTAGAGTCCCACATGAAGAAGTTTGAAGAAGAATGAAGAAGAAGTTTGTATTAAAGTTTCACTCTCCTGCAACCATGAGTAATAAAAATAATTCATCGTCTAATCCCCAAAAAGGAACATACGTTACTGTCACAAATGCAAAAAGTCCAGCTGTGAAACATTTTACTTACTTTGAAAATTCAATCATCACTGGTCTTGTTCTTAATCTCCTACAAGTATAACGTTTTTGAAAATTAAATACAACTTTGTATTCATACAATTTTATTTTTTGGACGCTTCAGCATGTGAAATGCACCACAGCATTGGGTTTGGGTGTAAGGAGTAGCAGTGTCCATCGGTCGTCAGTTGACGTCGGCTGGACGTTTTTCGGTATAAGTACATGCTTTATTACTACTTTTTCGCAATTAAGAAATGAATAACATGAAAAGCAATAAGGCCTTTTATGTATATTTAACAGTTATACTTTTTTTGCTTCAGAGCGATACCGAAGAACCAGGATATAGGATTGAAGCGCAAGAGAGAGAACCAGAACTAAAAGGCAGTAGAAAAGACGATGGCCAGACCCTGGACCTTGATTTACGAAAATCAAAACAGCAACTCTCAGAAACTGCAGCATTGTGCAGAGACTTGGCTGATAAATTAGATCGTGGATACCATAAGCGGGTATGTGTCCAAGTCTTGAATCATTGGGCCTACGTGTATTTATTAACTAGTATCTCGACCGATAATGATTTATCGCGCTCAGTAAACAGGAAATTTTCGTTTTGTTTAAGTTATATATCCGATATATAATATAAGGTGAATATGAACACAGGACTATACGACTTCCCCAGCTATTCGATGGAGTGAAATTGAAGATGTGATGTGTGTATTTATTTTACCCAATAGTTTACCCGACTTGTTTTATTTAAGAAACAGGCTGCAAAAGAGCAGAGTCGATTAGTAACTGAGAACGAACGCTTGAAACAACAATTGAAAGAGGTAGGTTGATATTCTATTCCAAAATTTAGATATTATGTGTTTTGTTTTTTCTTTACATATTACCATCAATATATTAGACAGAAAATAATAAGCATACATGGTGTATTTAGTTTAGTCTCAAGGCAGACTCATTTCTAAATTGGTTGTTTTCCATTTTAAAGTTCGTGGGTGTTGAATTTTGGATACTTACATCCAGCACTGTACTAAAATTATTCAAAATCTTTCAACTTTTCTGATAAATGCAGGTTATCGAAGCCAATTTGCGATGGCAAAAGTATAACGAAGAAAGGGAAAACTTTGTGAAAAATGAACTTAAAAGCAGAAAAACTCACAATTTCGCCAATGGAGTGTCCGGAGCCAGCCTGACAGATGAACAACAAAAAGAAGTTGACAAAATTCTTCTCAACGCGAAAGCGAAAATATCATCAGTAGAAGAGGAAAATGAAAAGGTCAGTACCCCCGTATTTGTAACACGTTGGATCACCTCTTTCGTTTGTTGTGATGTCGTCAATATACCATAACCTTGCTTTTAATTTCGTTGTAGTTACAGGACTCCATTAGAGAACTTCGACTCATTATTCACCGGAAGGATCAGGAGATAGAGAAACTTAAGAATGCCGGAATCCGACAGGATCGCCACCAGTCTTCCCATGACGATGAATATGTCAGTATCCTGCGAGAACAAATCCGCGCCGTGACCGAAGACTTTGAGGCCGAGAGACGAGACCGCGAGGCAGCGCATTCAAAAATTGTCGAACTTGAAAATCAACTGCGACAGTTGAAGGCCAATTGCTGGCGATAATTTAATAAATTATTTTTCCTTTGATGCAAAATTGAATATACTGTATATAACTGCAAATGGTTTACATACTACTGTGTGCTTTATGGTTGTTCTAAACACATACTAGTAAGTAATATAGGTGTATAATCTGTACTTTTTCTTTTGAATATACATCAAATGGTGTGGGTTTTTCACCCAACCCCCAATATTTCGACAATTGAACTTAACTTCTACTTTTATTGGTTTTAAACCTTATCTACTGTAAAACAAACTCCCAAAACCCCATCAAATGGTCTAGTGAGAAGGAGGGATTCACGTGCAACCCTGTGAAAAACAATGAAATAATTTTCTTAATCCTTTCTTAAACCTTGATATCTCGATATTTTTTTCTTATGTGTTCTCAGAGCGAAAAAAATCCCATGGGGGTTGATTTTAATGATACTGTGAACCCTGTGGCTCAAATATAAGCATTAAAAATTGGGGGTAGGGAAAGAAAATCATCTATACATTGCAATTTAAAACTCTTAATAATAGCAACAGTTATTTTCTTTTTGAGAAGAAATACCACACCTATCTCATGATAAGTTTCCGGTATATTTATGTAGTATTGACTTACTGACCAAATGGCATTTTAGAAACTTTTTCAAGCTAATTATTATAATTATTAAAAAAACAGCTCCAAAGAAACAATTCCAAAGATTCATCAATACAGTTTCAAAAGAAAGCGAGTAAAGGGGACTGGAACTGAATGTCAAGAAAACCGAATGCATGGTTGTATCAAATAAAAAACAAATACCCAAATGCAACATCAGTGGCAAAGGAGAAAAAATTAAACAAGTATACCGATTCAAATACTACGGATTCATGTTGACATCAGATGCGAAATGCGACACAGACATTAAGAAACGTATATCGATGTCAAAAGACACATCTAATAGGATGAGCCCAATACTAAAAAACAGAAAGATCTCCATCAACACAAAAAATAAGAACATTGAAATCCTACGTGTGGACGTCAGTACTCTTGCATGGTTGTGAATCTTGAAATATCCCTTACAAAACAAGAAATTGAAAGCTACCGAAATGTGGTGCCTATGAAGATTGTTGGGAATATCCTGGACAGAAAGAAAGACCAATGAAGAAGTGTTACTTCAGATGAAAAAAACAAGAAAAAAATGAAATCTCTGGGCCATATCATCAGAAAAGACGGAATAGAAAAACTGGTACTCTGTGGGAAAATTGAGGGAAGAAGAAGTAGAGGAAGCTAGATTGATAGCCTTATTGCCTTCGCAACTAATCAGCAACTGTATAATAACGGGTTCATCTAATCAACTGAAAATAGTGTAAACTGGAGGATCATGATCGTCGATGATTTCGACAAGGCCTGACACATGTTGATGATGATGATTCCATTTTCACTCTGAATTTTCAAATTTGCTTAATGTATTTAGATGTGTGAGCTACATGTATAACGAGATTATCTGAATTGTTAAATGTATTATAGACATTTAAACACTTTAATATGCTTTTAGTTGTAAAAAAAATTGAGTTACTTCTGGCTTTATTTTTTTGCCTAAGTCGAAACCAGCCTCTGTTTAATAAAGTAAATGTGCGATTGTCCATTGTATAAAGTTTATGTACATAAACGAAAAATATGGCATGGAATTATCGTTAGACGGGACGGTGTGACAAGTAGTCCTAAGCATGGAAGTCCAGGGTCCTATATGGTGAGTACAGGCTAGGGTTAGTCGGAGTATTGGGGTTTCTATATGGGACGAATGTCATCTGCATAACGTAGCTGGGAACGCACTACGGTACTTATCAGGCTTACATTCCTGTCACACCGGGCCTTCAGGCTGAGTAAGATATAGTCGAATTTCGGCTAATGCAAGATTTTACTTTAGAGGACTAGCCTTCTGAGCTTTCCATATTTTTTGAGAATTAATAAACTAACTGTACATTGTCGAAATCTTCTTTTTTAGAACTTTCTAATACTAAAAATTTACAAAGTTAAAAGTATCAAAAGTGTACCAGTGTGCTATCAGTTTAAAGCTATATTTTCGGTCTCCTACAGTCGCTATAGTCATAATACTTTAAGTCGTTATTTGGCGGTTTAAATAAGTTAACCTACCGCATCATTTCAGGGTTTATTTTTCCGTTATTCTTTTCTAACCACCCCGGCCTCTTGGCACAGCAGTTTATTCGTCACAAATCGATTATAAATGCGCCTTAAATATGCCATAACGCTCAGGTATCTCAATTAAGTAACGCTCCTAGGAGTCAGGGTGAGCCATTCAAGTTGTATGGGATGCCTTTTTCACATCTGCATTCTAACATATGGAAGAAGTTATCACACTACAACAGTAGGCAACGGCATTGTTGATTTCTTACGCAACGTTTTGTACCGTTTATTACGCTATCCCTTCCTGACGTCACAGAGCTTTCAAGCCCCTGGAAACAAACAATAGAGTGACGTCACACCTGGAGACAACCAAAAGCAACCTCAGGGATGGAGACGGCAGGAGACATGGTTTGCAGTTAAACTCAAGAATCTTTTTATATATTGGCAGTGTTTTTGATAATGTTTCGCGAAACAATGCTTGGATTCTTGTTGTTTCACCTTGCCGCAGCAAGTTCTACCACTCCGGAGCCTGAGGTTCCAACGTGGAAATTGTTCAGCTCTTCGCTTGAGGATAAAATTGTTGCACCAATATCTTGTATTGCCATAATCATCCTAGGTAAGCATAACTGGTTTGATCGTAACTCGTTCATCCTGGGTTAATCTCGGTTAGCTTACAAGCAACACTGGTTTAGCTACGCACTGGTAGTGCCGCTGGTTTTCCAAATTCCTACATTTTACATAAACCTATGCGTAAGCATATCAAAAATACAACAAGCAAATAACATACTACTATCACTTTCACTATAACTCACAATATGTTTTAAAATTCTGTTTTCAATTTAGGCATGCTGTACCTCTATCTGAAGACAAAAGCTCTTCATGCCCAAGATAAAACAAAACATACTGAAGCTGATCTCCACCCAGAGCGTGACAGGGACATAGAAAGTATGAAGAAACTCGGCACAGGAGATTTCGAACCCTTCCTCAATCCCTTCGACGTCGAGGCCGAAACCCGACTAAGATTGTATTCAAACAATGTGCAGGAACTTTTCACGCTCTCCTTCCCATGTATTTTTGTGGTGGCATGTTCTCCCTTCATGCTTTTGGTGCAGTCTTACATCGTCAGCTATATCTGGGATGATGTGGGAGTCAACTCCAAGTTCGTGAATGCCAACATCCCAATTCGATGCTTTTTAATGCCATCGGGCCTGGTGTACGCCATCATGTTTGGGTTTGTGTTTCAGTGTGTCACCAGGAAGCAATCGGCAGTCACTGACAGGTTTTTGTACCAGGTGAAACTCCTCTGGCAGATCGTGGCCATGACGACCAAGATCCATCTCTCAGACACAGACCGTCTAGATGTGGTTATCGCTGTGAAGGATGCCATTGTCCACATGATGGTCCGTATTGTCGACCGTCCTGTGGAGAAGTACGTGAATCCGCCACCGGAGCATCTGACAGGTATCTTTACCGATACAGTATCTGTGATCCATAGTATCCTGACCTAGAAATACATGTAGTTAAAGACGGACTTTCATTAATCAATTTCATACTATTACGGTCTAAATATAGCTCAGTTTGTCAACAGACATGAGCACAATTCGACAATTAATGCGTAGCATGTTGTATGATTCATTCTCATAATTGTGCGAGAGTCTGAATGAAAAATGTATTTTTCTGTTCCTAAACTCTTAATTTATTTCTGCCCCTATCTCCTGTCATCCAAAACCATGTGTTAGAATTATGGACTCTAATGCTTTTCCCTATTTAAAGACTTTTTAAGAAATGAACATAACATATTTCAGACAGCCTGTACGCCATTCTTGATAAGATTCGGGAGGTCGACTTAACCGACAAGTCCGCCATGGTTGATACCACGATGATGCACAAGATCAGCAGCATTATTGTGGAGCTCATTGGGAGTGACTACGACAACTTCAACATCTTCCACGCTCGCACACACATCCTCCAGTCAGTATTGGTTAAATACAAAATTATGAAATACGTGCTAATCTATTAAATTTTTTAAAACTGTGTTCGCTAGACAGCAAAAAATATTGATTTTCATAAAACGCACGTGGCCGAAGATAAAAACTTATATGGCATTTAATATTATTCTCCCGTTATGATAAATTAAGCTAAAATTTGTGGCACAATTTGTTTATCATATTTAGTATGGAATTATACTTTCAATATTACGATTTTTCTCAAAATCTTGGAAATTAATTTAAATAGGGCATATGTGTAATAACTACTGTTTCTTTGCAGATGGTTCATCCTGGAGTTTCTGGGTCTGTCTGCGTACTTTGGCATCTTGCTGATTGACGGCAAATCATACATCTTCGAGCTGGTCGTGTCCTACATCACAGTAATCTCTATCTCCATGTTGTGCTACATTGTCGCTGATCTAGACGCCCCCTTCAGTGGCTTCTTCACAATCGACATCAAGCCTCTGTTTGACATTCTGAGGCGCGCAGAACAGGTGTACAACGACACGTGCGCCAGTGCCTCACAGGCGAGGAGAGAGAAGTATTTGAAGGCACAGAGCGCCCCCAAGAGCCGACCCCAGGCGATCCCACGCAAAACCCGCCCAAAGACCGTGGGTACAGAAGATGTATTTTTTGACCTAATGTCGTGAGAGATGGGCAAGACAGATGGCTAGAAAGAACGAAACTGCACTCCTACGATAACTTTTAGTTACTTTTGATACATTTAACTGAAGAAATCTTCCTAAAAATTTGATAGTAGCCAACCGTTAAAAATCCAAAGTATTTAACTTTATTCCAGTATTTTCAAATTTGACTTTTCACTACCACTCACCACTCGTTGAGTAGTTTAAATTAATCTTGCTCGAAATTTTGGAGTCCCAGAATAAAATGTATAGAATAAGCCATTTGCGTTACTCATTTATTCATCAGAAAGCCTAAAGGGGACGCAAAAGCAATATTGAATATGGTGAAAAAAGATAGAATCAACCCATAAATTACTAGTTTGATAATTATAATAGAAGACAGTAACTACATGTACATGTATCTTATATCTTTTGTTCATTTAAGTCATGTTACAAAAAAAGATACATTGCACACAAGATATGCGAACGGACATAGCTAGCGTGAACAACAACACGCAAAAAACAAGAACATGTATATGAGGGTTCGGTGAAAAGTCCACCGTTCAAAAGCACTGTCTACCTACATAATAAAAGCAATTTCCTTTTTACATTCTCTCAATTGTTATCTAAATAACCTCTCATTGTCTGAAGCAATTTGACTTGCACAGAAAACAATAAAAATCATTAAAACTGCCCCAGGTCAATAGTGTATTACAATTAACCGTTTATTACGAGCTATCAAAATAACAGATAATTATGTGTACGTGCTCAAAACCGTGTATTGAAATGAACAATACGTGCAAGGAATCATCAATTGATATCAAAAGAGACAAATACGTTCTGCAGATATAAAAAATCAATGATATTTTTGGGCATTTTGGATTAGAAACCCTGACCGTTTCGACGACTTATTGTGCCCTGAGAACATAGTAGGTTTAAAGAGACTGTGACGAGGGTGAAGGCCGTTTATACTAACCAGTGCTCGTTAAATATCCGACTGGAATCATACCGGTATTTATTGTACACAGCATAATGGTTCGCTTTTGATGATTTTCTTTGATGACCTATTTCCGATGAGGTGCTGGTACATAAAAATGATTGCTAGGATATCGTTGTTTCTCCATATAAAACTAAGCGAAACGATCGGTGTACGTATTTATCAGTTGAAGAGGCCATCATGAAGATCGCTTGTTTTACAGTGCCAGGTATATTGTTAGCGACCTTTCCAAATGTAATGTTTAAGCTGCAGAAAAAAAGTTTGAATTTAATATTGCTGGTCAATTTCTAGTAGCGAGTGGCATAAGTAAAAATAATAAATAATAACAATATTAGGCAGGCAGGAAAAGATTTCGATGGTGTCATTTTATTAATTTTGTTGCGCATATTAGGCCACGTTATAAAGTGCATGTGCATGTACGTGCAAAGAAAAACAAACGCTCTTCTTTATTTTCAATATAAGAAAAACAAGAGATGTAGTTGGGTGTGGAATGTAAACGACTTTTTTTCAGTTTTAATCCTGTCGATTGGTGTCCTTGACTTTTCCAAGGTAAGAGCAATTTCATAGCAATTCTTTGTAATTGCATTCTTCACAATTATTTCATTCGTGTTATAGTTTTGTTAAAATAGATGTCACAATCTACATAATCAGGATTTAATCTTGTGGCATTGCCTTATATGATATTGCATTTATTTACGAAATCTTACCTTATTGACTGTAGGTGCTAAAATTCCAAAAAGATACGTTCTATAATTAGAATGATAGAAATACACGATCTAAGTTTCACATTAAATACATCCCTAGCCAATTGCAATCTTGGAACATATAAAATTGGAATTGCAGGCACAGCAGGGCAGTATTCATGGTATTCCTGAAAGGTTCTTGTTTAAGTGTGAAGGTCGAGAGGATGGGTTATACGCAGATATCGCAAGGAATTGTCAGGTGAGGTGCTAAGTATTTTGAATTTAAGGGCATCTTCTTTGTTCCCCTTTGATTAAGTAACCTCTCGTTTCACTTCAAAGCTTCGTATTCACTCAAGCTCAAACTTTTATACTGCCTGAACGATGACCAAATATCTATAAGTAGTAGATTTTATTTTCTTCTCCCTTTCTTTCTTTCTTTCTTTCTTCTTCTGACTTTTTGCAAAGCCGTCCCATGTCTACTTTGTTTGTTTGTTTGTTTATCATTTAGAGTAAAGTGTTAACTTCAGTGACAACGTTTTCTTTGTTTGTTCCTCTCTGATTGTCCGTTTCAAAATTTTTGTCATGGTAAGAATATTTTAAGAATTGGCCAGTATTACGACCATCTGATTTTGTTTTCAATGATTCTCTAGTCGTCGCAAATTCTGAGTTAGCTTCCTCCAACCCGTCCCCTCTATTCGACCTCTTCTCCAATGCCTCAATGTTCTTTAAAATCCTCGTGCCAATTTTCGTAATCGATGCAAAGAAAACGGCACCAAATATGATAATCCCAACAGAGATGAGGATCAGTTCGGTGGTTAAAGGTCGCACAATAGCGAAGGCAGCCACCAGAGCCACGGTATCCAACACGTAGATCAAGGCAGCAAGGACAAGGCGGTGGAAGTGACTGCCAATTACCGACCCGAACGGTGCGCCGACAATGACAACCGGCACTGTGACGGCTACATATTCCCAGCAGTCAATGGAGACGCCTCCAATGATGACAGCCCTCCAAAACAGTCCAACCACAGTGTTTCCCGCCATCAGGACGATGGAGGTGGGCGTGGCAGTTTTCTCGCTGACGCGGAACAGAAGGGTGAGGATGCTGAAGCTGCAGATATCGAGCCCACTTCCGGCAAACGACGTAAACATTCCACCAGCGAAGCCTGTCAGAACCAACACCAAGGCTTTCCAACAGTTAAACGTTGGTATCTTAAGAAAAGTACGTCGCTTGTGGTTTATATTAAGGAAAAATAGAGCGAAGGCAAACGTGAACCAGATGCAGACAAATCCCAACTTTTTTTGCGGTGGCGTCAACAGCGGGCTCACGTACTCCAAACCAATAATGATTCCTGCAGCGCCACCTAGAGAGGAGAAAAGTATGGCGTGCCATTCTAAGTGGATTTGCATGTAGATGATGGTGAAGGCTGCCGCCGGAAGCCCAACAGACTGGATGGCCATGGAGAAGTCTCTGGCCACGATGGGGGAGATTTTAAACGCCAGGGTCATCACAGGGAACGCTACGGCCCCTCCAGCCTCACTGGTCATTCCTGGTAAACAGAAACAGAAAAGCTGGTTTCATGAATGATAACATTCGTCAAAAAAATGGAATAATTCAATCGATCAATTTCACCTAAAAACCTAAACCTGCTCTTAAAGGCCATACCTACAAACGCTTGGAAGACTCTAGAAGTGATGCCAATACATATAATTACACCAGTCCAACTAGGGCTTTATTTATTTTTTTATTTTGATTCATTTGGAAAATTACACTACCTGCAACTAAAGAGCCCAACACCATGGTTATGGTCATGAAGTATTTATCCGTGAAAAGGCCCCAGTAGTTGTATCTGATCATAATAGACAGCCACGCAAACATGATGACAGACACTGGGATGGCGAACGCAACGATGCGTCTGTGCTTCACCATGAACTTCTTGTACCACTTTGCATCCGGAGAGAGACTTCTCAGAGCCTCTTCTTGGGCTGGCAGAAGATGCTGGCCTGGTAAATAAATAAATAAATAAATAAATAAACAATTTATTTTTGGTTGAATATGCCTAATATTTTGTTAGGGAAACATGATGTTTTGATTGACATACCAGTACCAAGGGTACTGGTATGTCAGATAAGATAATGGTAGGATAAATATACATGAAGATTGCCCTTTCAAATGAAATGTTCTAAAATTTATCTTCTTTGTCTTCGAAAATTTGATTCAGATTTCCCTTTGCTTTGGAACTCTTCAAATGATTGACATATGTTCCTTTACAGTTTACTCCAAATAATTATTATTGTTTTGTTCTTATATAGTTTCTTTAAGTTAGTTTTAAAACTGTATTCGATAATTTTTTTTAATTTGAGAACAGTGTTACATTTTTTCTACTTTAAACATAATATTGCTTATACCTTCCCAAAAATATTTTTTAAGAAAGACTTTTAAATCAAAAGGGTGTTTCCGGACACAGCATCCACGAGTTGATGACGTGTCATCGTCTGCTGTAGACATCAACAAAATGTTCTGAAATATAAACAGACCTTCAGTTATTTCATCGTCAATATCATCATTAATTGTCTTGTCACCTTTACATATGTACATGTACAGTATGTTACGCATTACTAAAATTGACCCTTTTTCTTAGGGATAACTTAAATTCATGTAATATTATATTATTATGACTTAAACCACTTTTTGCTAAAACATACGTATTTAGTCGTTGAAAAAGGACATTTAAATAGCTTTGGATTTTATCGAATCTTTTGCAACCGACATTTTCCTTCGGCTCTTTGACGTCTGCGGCGATCTGTTCTTCCTCATCCATCGTAGTGTTTTGTGCCTAGATATTTCATACGCAACCCGGTTTGTTGACCCAGTGCTCCAGGTGTATCTAACAAAAAAATGCAGCATATTAAAGTACAAATGTACATGTGAAAATCAAGACTCGTGAAGGTACACTAACAAAACGGTTATTCATGCATGGATAAAAAATGCATCGAATAACCTAAGTAGTAAATGTGTCTGTAGATTATTCGTTTCGTTCAAAAGATACGCCATTCTTGTTATGTTACGTGAATAAAGAACGGGCGTAAGAAGAGAGTTGCCTGAGAATATTAGCACGCATTTTCTTTCATGGTTCAAGCAACTCAAAACAGAACATGTGAAATTCTTTTTTCATATATATTGTTTAGACCGAAAAAAAAACGAACATCTTACTTGTCAGAGTTTGGATTGGATCACTATTAGGGCCGTTGTTGAAAGTGCTTTTATCTTTGTTTGCAATGTAAAATAATGATAAATATCTTTATACCACAAGGTCGTGGCTCAAGTCCTTTAAAAGGTTAAAAGTATAGTGAATGGCTACCCTCTAGCATCAATTGTTAGGTCGTCTACTCGATGATGAGCAAGAGGCTTAACACCCGTTCTTAAATCATAGAATTAAAAAACGCGAACACAAGACGAATTGATAGAAACAAAGCTTCATTTAACCAGGGAATTATATCGGATATAATTCCCTGATTTAACAAAGCGAAAATTCTTTACTCACCCGCTTTTTTCTCTAGACAGGAAAGGCTAGAGAGTCGGCAAAGATGTGGGTTCGGTTGATCAAACTGTTAAGGGCACGGTGGGTACTACCTCAAAAGCAGCCATTCAGGCGGTAGCCATGGCAATTTGAAATTGAGTCCGCTAGCGCATGCGGCCTCACCGTGAAATGGCAGAACTAGGGGATGTGGAGTACGTGCTCTTATCGTGTGCCTTTAGCGTCTCCTAATTCGTCTCAAAGCTCTTGGGCTGGAAACCAACTCAAGACGCCATTCACTCTCATCTCTCCTCTCCGTTACCCTACTTTTTTCCTAACCCACTGACACCCTACTTACAGTTAGATACAATTAAAGAAAACTAAGGTATCAAACAGGAAATCACTCGTAGCTTGTTAAGTATAATTAAGGATTAAACTTTCTGTAATTATACAATTAAAGTAACAGTAGGAAAAAATCAACAAAATGTTTGGGTTTTTTTAGGTTAAAAAATCTTTATATAACTTATACGACAAAATTTTTTTCTAAAAATGAATATTAAGAATTTAAGGCAGTAATGTTTTTTCCGTCAAATTTGTCAAAATTACGATTAGATTTCATAACATGGATTTTTTGAAAGTCTTAGGCCCGATGTTGTTCTAGCGCCATGTGGTCTTATATTGACGTCTGCACTATTCTATTTCCAGTCCATGGAAATCAATATATACATAAAGAGTCGTGGATAAATTGAAATTGCTGTCTAGTGCCCCACCAAATTGTCTCTTCACAACGATAAGATATAGAAATAAATAAAATAGCTACTGTCTGGTGTTGAGTGATGCGCCATGTTTACATATATACACTGAAGCACTATACTTTCGTTGACAAGACAATTACATATAGCAAAGATCTGCAGATCATTCCCTTTGACTTCCAGAAACAATTAGATAGAGCTATTTCGTATTAAATATATAAAAGTCATTCCTAATGACCTACAGATTAATTAAACGTTAATGTTTATTTCTCCAGGTGTACCGTATTTGTATTGGCGGCGAACTTCTGACTTCTGAAGCAGGTTTCGACATGTTTCCTTGTCCACAGGGAACGCTGTTCGACCAAAACACTTTGACCTGTCAGCACGCAGCTAATGTGATATGTCCACAGGAGTAATGGGCGGAGTCTCTCGAAATGGTTTTTCAAATCTTATAGATGAAAATATAAGAGATGTGTAATAATAATAATAATAATAATGATAATAATGTCACCGGAAAGAACAATTTCCCTATCGTTAATGACTCAAAAACTTGAAGGCTGACACTTTTACAGAATGTCCTTCAGACATAAATGTTTTATTAGCACGATTAGTGTGTATTAACCATTAGCCTTTATGCGTGTGTGTGTGTGTGTGTGTGTGTGTGTGTGTGATGAATTTTGATAGAAGCAGGGGCCAAAAATTATGTCCGCTATTTTTCTGAACGTTTCGACTACTTCGTGCATCGTACTGTCAGTCTTGGCTGAACATCTCCTGTCTTTTTCTAATCCTTTATGTCCATCTTTTAGTCATTCACCTGTAGAACTTTCACTTTTAGCATGTCAGTAAATTCAAGTTCACAGTTTCGTGTTTTCCTCTTCGTCTGCACTCCCTGTATTAGTTTCCCTTTGCGCGTCCGCTTTTAAAGACTTACTCACATCTATATGAAATATTTCTATTTCGGTTTTGGCATTTTCTGAATCTTCTATTGTTGTCGAAATATCTGTGCTATTTTCTTTCATCCCAGAATTTCCACGTAATGCATTTGATGCCTCAAATATCTCTAATATAAGCCCGCCGATTTTGGTAACTGAAGCAAAGAAAACGGCGCCAAATATGATAATCCCAACAGAGATGAGGATCAGTTCGGTGGTTAAAGGCCTCACAATAGCGAAGGCAGCCACCAGAGCCACGGTATCCAACACGTAGATCAAGGCAGCAAGGACAAGGCGGTGGAAGTGACTGCCAATTACCGACCCGAACGGTGCGCCGACGATGACAACCGGCACTGTGGCGGCCACATATTCCCAGCAGTCAATGGAGACGCCTCCAATGATGACAGCCCTCCAAAACAGTCCAACCACAGTGTTTCCCGCCATCAGGACGATGGAAGTGGGCGTGGCAGTTTTCTCGCTGACGCGGAACAAAAGAGTGAGGATACTGAAGCTGCAGATATCCAGTCCACTTCCGGCAAACGACGTAAACATTCCACCAGCAAAGCCTGTCAGAACCAACACCAAGGCTTTCCACCAGTTAAACATTGGTATCTTCAGAAAAGTACGTCGCTTGTGGTTTATATTTAGGAAAAATAGAGCAAACGCAAACGTGAACCAGATGCAGACAAATCCCAACTTTTTCTGAGGTGGGGTCAATAGCGGGCTCACGTATTCCAGGCCAATAATGATTCCCACAGCGCCCCCAAGAGAGGAGAAAAGTATGGCGTGCCATTCCAAGTGGATTTGCATGTAGATGATGGTGAATGCTGCCGCCGGGAGTCCAACAGACTGGATGGCCATAGAGAAGTCTCTGGCCACGATGGGGGAGATTTTAAACGCCAAGGTCATCACAGGGAAGGCAACGGCTCCTCCAGCCTCACTGGTCATTCCTGGTAAACAGAAACAAAAAACTGGTTTCGTGAATGCCTACATTCTTTAAGAAAATGAAAAATCCATGGAAAAGATGGAAACCAATTCTATCTTGCTACACATTTATCAGATATTACTTGCTTTGCTTCTTTGCATTCTTTTGATCTCTTAGGGTTTTGAACATTACTGTAATTTTGTAAAGCGTCTGGTGTGTGCACTACCTGCAACTAAAGAGCCTAATACCATGGTTATGGTCATGAAGTATTTATCCGTGAAAAGGCTCTCAAAGTTGTATCTGATCATAATAGACAGCCATGCAAACATGATGATGGTGACTGGGATGGCAAACGCAACGATGCGTCTGTACCGTACCATAAAGATTTTGTACCACACGGCGTCCGGAGGGAGATTCCTAAGAGCCTCCTCTTGGGCTGGAAGTAAATGCTGACCTAAAAAAAAGTAAAAAGGTTTATTATAGAAAATAATGGTTAAATGCGTTTTGTTGCTTAATGTTACAAGTAAACCCGTGTCGCAATAGTATAAATCTATTCGATGCGGTGTAACGTGACAGTGTCCCCCATAATGGAGAGTACAGGTAAACCTCGCCCTAGATTTTGACCCACTGAGGTCAGGCTAACCCTAACCACTATGACAAAATGGAGAGAGGATTTTCTGTTACACGGACCCTCAGTTCGTTTCACCGGCGTTACTGTTTTCGCTTTCGGCTTGCTTTTATTTTACATGTGTTTTTTTTATCTGAAATGCATTTTCATAAAATTACTTAAAATGAAACTGTACTTTTGGGGGCCTTGAAACGAATGAAATAATAAATTCTCGGTCAATCTGCGGTAGTTTTCTGCGCATTGCAGTCACAGTTGACGGCTGATACCCTTCGCTTCTTTCTTCAACCCCGGAAGTGAAAATGAGTTAAAATGACTAGAAATTGTCATTTTTTTCTATCTTTAAGCTCCAGAATGTGACCTTTTTCTTTTAATTTCTTAGTCATTTTCCTTTGTGAAATAAGTACTGCTGAGACAAAACATTACCTTCGCAGAAGTATTTCTTTAGAAACACTTTTAAATTAAAAGGGCGTTTCCGGACACAGCATCTACAAATTGATGACGTCATACTGTCGTCTGCCGGAGAGAAGTGAAATGCTCCCTGAAGTGCAAAGAGATTTTGGTTTAAATTTATTACACACATTTTCATTTGGTACCTACTGCTGTCACCGTCATAAACTTGTGTGTAAAGTTTACGGAAACCGTCGGAAATCGTTGCAATTCTTTCTGATACTTTATCTATTAAGGTTTCTTCGTCGTTTATCACACCAAAAGTCGGGTCAAGTAACGTAACTCTATTCAATTATTCTTTAAATAAGTGGGCAGTTCTCTTTACAGCTACACTTTTTGGTTGTAAGGATTTAACGCAGAGAAGGGGACGAAATACACATTTCTTTAAAATCAGAATAAAAAACCACTTGTCATTGTGCGTGTTATTAGCTATCTTTCACAGACATGACAACTTTTTTCTAGTTTAGCGAAACTCTTGTCTACATTAATTAAAGGCAAAACCTAGTATAGAGATGCAAATTGCAATTTGGCTCAAAACACTGAAATAAGGATTAAACGTGAAAGATTGAAGGAAAGATTTGCTTAAACCTCGGATGCTCCCTGATGGTAATGTGCTTATCTCACTTTAAAAGTAAGTGGCAACATTAAGTCATATAGTGAACATGATTTGAATGTAAAAAGGACGAGAGTTACTAATGTTATCCTTAACCCGGTTAAATGACAATTTCATGTGCAGATAATCTTACATAAAAAACTGAACAAAAAGACAAGCAGCAACACGGTTTGCATTTCTGACAAAACCTACAGTTTCTGAGACAGGGATGCATTTTTAAAAAATGAACGAAAAAGTGAATGATATTAGAATACCACGGTAGCAGCTGAAGTGGTATTAATACCTGCACCCTGATACATAATTGCGCGACTCGTCTGGTAATAACTGCAATAAAGTCAAACCCAGATATTATCCAAGCCAACGCATTAAAATATCTTACCAAGTATGGGGTAATAATCTGCTTTCTTCTACTAATTCTGAGCTCGGAGTGTCACCCAGGGATGTGTCTGTCTTTGTATTAATAATCAGATCCAGCCGTGCTCATTTGGACTGGTAATAAAATTCCGATACATTACGTCTACAGACGAATGCGTGTGATAATGAATGCATTAATTCACGCGGTGTCTTAATGCCGCCTACCAGTCTTTACATTGGGTTTTAATTGCTTTCGTGAATGAGAACGCTTACACTATGTTACACCTGTATTCATGATGTGTAGAAATTTATTACTTTTTTCAAGAAACATTTCATGATACCAAAAATTTCCCCAGTGTTGGCAAGGCTAGTGATGTCACCGGCCAAGAATGTATAAAACTTCCCTGTACCAGCGACAGATGGAAAGTGTAACTTTATGTTTTAATTATATTGACGAAATGTAATGCAGTAAAAAAAATGAAATAGCACTGATGTGTTTTATTTGGGGTGTGAACTATGTCTTTTATGTCTCATCCATCCCAGACACAGGTTGTGTACCACAAGCTTTCACAGTTTTATTCACAACAAGAAGGAAAGCAACGAAGAATATCGATTGTTCGAGATTTAACCAAACAAGGTCGTTTTTATTATAAAACCCCATTGTTCTAATAATTTTTATTAATAATTTGTTGCCAATATTAAATGTTACGGCTTTAGGGATAATATATATATCGAATATTCAATAAGACTCAAAAAAATTATGATGTGAGGAGTCAGCAAAAGTTATCATTTACAAATAATTCTACTCAAATGTCGTGTACATTGGCTATCATTTAAAAGTCATATACTGGTACTTTTTCAACTTATGAATGCTCACTGTGTATGAGAAACATCATTGACATGGTCAAGCGATCTTTTATTTGTGAAGTAATTTAAAATTTATAATAAACACCTGAAGGAACACCTGTCGAACGCACACATCAAACAAAAAGTAACATATACATGTAACACCCAAACCCAATATAGAGGTGCAATTGATGTCACAACGTCAAGCATGTTATTAAAAATATGTACTGCACAGATTGCAAACTGTGTTTGATTATTTTAGGGTCCCACACGAAGAAGCTTGTATTAAAGTTTCGCTCTCCTGGAACCAAGAATAATTAAAAATAATTCATCGTTTAACCCCCAAAAGGAACATACGTTACTGTCACAAATACAAAACGTCCAACAGTGAAACGTTCTACTCACATTGAAAATTCAGTCATCACTGGTTTTGTTCATTGGTTTATCTCCTACAAGTAACGTTGCTAAAAATCTTCTGTATCGAGAAATTAATTGTTTTTGAGCGACTTTTGTTTGCTTGTCACAGAATATTTTAAAAAATGGGGAAAATACACCCTACCGACAGTAAAATAAGCATAAATATTTTTTTCCCTTCGTGATCCAAATATTATATCAGAAATGTCACACTATATATGATGGAACCACAATATATTGTTCGGTCAGCAAAAGAAAACAGTGTATCTCTTGTACACAAGTACTTGAACAAAATGAAACATTTTGACAATTTTTCTAGGGAACATACGTTACCTAGTATAAGCCATGACGCAAAGCCCTTTGAGACACAGTTTAAATATTTATAAAAACGTCCTTACGTCATGTCTAATTTACCATGACTGAACCACTAAAAAATATATCGGAACGTGGCATAAAAATGAAAATTAAATTCCAAGGAACATACGTTACCATATAGGGCTCTTTGCGTAATGTTAAAGACATGGTAAAAATTAAAATTTGAAGTTCAGTTGAGACAGTCGTGGATTTTTCTTCTATACACATATATGTTTTGAAATATTGAATACAACTTTGAATTCATTCATTTTTATTTTTTGACATTTCAGCATGTGAAATGCACCTCTATATTGGGTTTGGATGATAAACACTTTCACTTTTCAAAAATAAGAAAAAAAAAGAGAATTAGTAAAAATAGTAAAGTTAGATATGTTGCATATGCATCAGTTTGACCAAAATTAGTGTGAAGTGGTAGAATATTTCTTGTCAAAATAAAGTGAGTAATTTACAAGCACCACGTGGCTTAGCATGTCACTCACCACAATAACTTCTAAAATTATAACACATAATAATCCCAAAAATAAGGGCACGGAAATTCTTTTAAAAGGGCAACAGACTTACTCAATTGAAATTCAAAAAATCAAATGAAACTAAAAGGTATGCTATGAGGGATTTGCGCGCCACATCTAATTATCCTTAAAAAAGCATTTCTTCTACTTACAAACTACTGCGCAACACATACCTCTATTAAAGTTTTCTACCAATTCTAATGTAACTTAGTTCTAAACGAGCCATGATTGGTTTATAGTAATACCGTCTACCTGACATTCCAGAAGAAACTACCGACATTGAGGGATTTGAGATCTGACTTGTGACATGTAGCATTTCAGGATAAAAAGCCATAAAAATGTAAGACTTAGGGACATATCACATGCGTATAAGTATAGTTATGATACTGAAAACACATTAATGTGCAACGATTTGGAATGCATGGGTATTGCAATTTGGATATATGTTATAGTCTTGAGTAAAATATATCTTGCTTTTTTATTCTTGCGCTAGGAAAAACAAGGTTTCACAAGACCTATAACAGCCATCTGTTTCAGATTTGTTATTTGGTTTTAGATTTGTTACTTAAAATTGTTCTTGTTTCATTTAATACTGTATAAATGACTCAGTCGGTCCTCTGTTGCTGTTGTCTGTCTTTTGATCAACCGTCCACAACAGTGTTGCCTTGGTGATAGAACTGGAAATTGCTCCTCGAGTTCTGAAGATTTAAAATAATGTCGGTTGTCTATCATTTGTGGAGGGAAAGTCTAAAATTGTATACATGCTGATTCTTACGACAGATATAAAACATTGCGGATAAGGCACCCAGTCGTAATTTACACAAATTAAAGTCGAACCCATTACAATTTATTCTAGTCAACGATCTTAAAACCTATGTAATTCTTCGTAACTGAGAAAAAATAGCCAACATCATCGCCTCCCGGTTGTTGTGTTCATTATCTTTTCACTTTACTCACCCTTAACTGTCGAAGCTGGATTTCAAGTTCGAGAATTTTTGAATGCGCCTCCTCTCGGTCTCGTCTCTCGGCCTCAAAGTCTTCGGTCACGGCGCGGATTTGCTCCTTCAACATATTGACATAGTCATCGTCGTTAGAACGGTTAGAAGACCGGTGGTGATCCTGGCTCATGGCAGCGCTCTTTTGCAGGTTCTCTATTTCTTGATTTTTCTGATGAATGGTAAGACGAAGATCGCGGATGGAATCTTGAAGCTGAAAGTTAGTGAAAGATGCTATAGAATTATTTTACAGTTACTGCGTAGTTAGAGGACAAGGGAAATGTGCGAAAACTTTAGAGGACTGATGATTAAAACCAAGTTTTTTCTGCGGGTGCTAATCAAGGGCACCGTTATACTAGCAAATTTTCATTTTGATTTCAAACAATGAGAGCCAATGTTATTTGAAGCCATCTTCTTGATTTTAGTTGATTTTAAAAATTATGATCCCTGCACATACACGTTTAAATATTCTACGTTTAAATATTCTCATTCTGTCTCGAAACAATTGAAACCACATGTACATGTAGGCCTATGTACCGTACCTCAACCATTCGATAACATCCCACATTACGTTTGTAGTAGCATTTTCTATGTATTTAGTTTAATACCCATAAATATGTAGAGTAAAGGTTGACCATAAATACGTGATATTCACCTGTTCCTTCTCTTTTTCTATCGATGAAGTTTTCGCCTTAGCATTGAGCAGTATCTTGTCAACTTCATTTTGCTGTGCCTCTGTCAACACGTCAGCGGGCTCTCTGCTGGCGCATGCGCACTTTTGCGTTTGTTTGCTCTTAAGCGCATTTTGCAAACTGATCACATAGTTGTCCCTCTCCACGTTATATTTTTGCCAATGAAGGTTAGCATCGATAACCTAAATTCATAAAAAAAAGTTTGTCATATTATCAGAGGCGTCCTGGTATAATCTATCTATGTTACAAGAGATTATCATGAATCAAAATTAGTTCTTTCTCATCAGGATATGAATAAGCGCTCGTTTTATTATTATTATTATTATTTACTACTATACGACCAAAACGTGATTCATAAAAAAGATAATTGCAATTTTTGAAGCATGAACATAAATATTATCCACTTATTCCGTCTGGGGAGTGAATAAACATTGATGAACAAGGTAAACCTACTGTAGTATCAAAAACTTCCATGGTAATGTTCAGTGGACTGCCCATATATACTGGTACATGTAGTTTAAGAGACGATACAGTAACATTTACCCTCCAAATAAAAATGCCAGTTATTCACAGAATCAACCTACCTCTCCTAGCTGTTGTTTCAGTTGTTGATTCTCAGATTTTAATTTGTTATGTTCTGATGATTTAGGTTGCTGCAACAAAAACGTTTTGATGTTTAAACATTTAAAAATAAATCCCGCGTTCTTCTGTATGTATTTCTCAGATGGATTCAGCAGCCCCCTGCACATGTACAACGACCTGCCAACCACACTGTACCAGGCATTTAAAAAACTCAATACAAAAGTTGGTCGAACAACCACAGATGAAAATTTTGCCTTTATAAAGAATTGATGAACCAAGTGAACGAAACTCTGATTGCATTTGCTCAGGACCTCACCAATGCCCTGGCTTAGAGAGATCTAGAAGACAGTGCTGCATTTACTGGCATTATTTTGTATGAGTGATCATAGCATATCATATCGTTGCTTCAAAGTATACTTATTTATAATTTCATTTCTATCGCACATTTTTATTTACCTACGTAGATTTATAGGCTGCAATGAATAAGGCAAATCATTAAAAGCTCGCCTACATAAATGGCTGAAGGCGATATACTAATTATATTCTTTTTAATGTCGCCACGTAGGAAAAAAAATGACACTTTCAACATACCTGGCAAAGACTTTTAGAATCTAATTGTTCCGCCAATTTTAGACACAATTCAGCGGCTTTTGAGAGTTGTTGTTTTGACGTCTCGAAATCAAAATTCTGATTCTGATTGTCTTCTTTCCTTTTTCTTTCCATTTCTTGTTCTCTAGCTATTATCTCTTTTCTATCAAAAAGGTCCCCTGTAAGTTCCTAAAACGAAACATAACTATTGTCAAAAACGAATCCTGGATGCAGAAGGATGGACTGCAAACCCTGTACACAGTCTGACGAGATACACCATATCTGACAGCTACTTGGGTAACATCGACACCCTCCTCTCTCAGAGAAACAATTTTATTTCTTTCCTCATTTGTGAGCTCCCGTACCTTCAACATGGGGCAACGTGACAGCTGGACTTTAGGACTTTTCACCTTCGGAGGCGAGTGGCGTTAAGTGCCCCAGATGACCGCCTATGACATAAACGTGATAAGCCATCTTGAAGTATGCCATATTTAATTTTTTTTCTATAGAAATACTCTTCTATCCAAGACTAGAAAAGTGTCAAATATGTGATGTAAAATGCCATAGACCTCAATCGAGTATGCGACATAAATCTTACGCAATGAAACATTAAAAACTTGCACCGTTAATCTAATAACTTAATTATTAATATATATACTTATAATTTATTAATTAGATATTAAAACAATAGAACATGAGTCATGAACATCTGTACTGGTTGTCTGTATCACTGTAGCATATCGTGATATTATTCAAAAACACGCCCTAGGCATTTCTTGATTCACATGACATCTACTAAGGAAAATTAAAATTTTGAATGTTACCTATATCAAATTTTTCAATCATAAGATGTGATGAATGTACTATTACCTGTGAATGCATGTCTTGTCCAACTGTAAGCCAAACACTGCTATCTTCGCTTGTGGTGGAGGAAAAATTCAAATCCTCCAACTTATCCAACTCTGCAGTATTGGCGTAAGGAGTTTTCATCCCATTTTTTCTAGGGCTTGGTTTTGGTTTCGAGGAAAATTCTCTCAACGTAGATTCATCAGCTGCCGAGGTCGATCTCGATGCCATAATTTCCCAATTCTTCTTTTACTGAACATTGGCAGCTTTTAAGAATCTTTTAGATCTAAATGGACAAAAGTGGGCTATATTTAGAAACACACGGTTCTCCCATGTCTGTTAATTTTTTGCCAACAAATGAGATATCTTACCGGTGGTCAATGTTCAGTCTGTCTAAAGAGCAAAAAAAAAAAAAATCCCGTTACTTTCGCATCAGGAAAATTACTCTATTAAACAGCTGTTGCTATAAACAGACGTATCACAACCGGTTCTTTAAAAAGTTACTGACGATAAAAAAATCCACATTTTTACGACTGGAATTCCCCCAATACGTCATGAATAAGCAAATTTGAATTTAACTGCAAATTATTTCAATTTTCGTACTTCTAAGCTCTAGATACTTAATGCATAGGTCATAAACACATGTTCAAGTTTCTGTTTTTACAAGTCCTCGTATTTATATCTCTCGGTGTTTGAAAAAACCTCTAACTACTTCTCAGTCCGTAATACATCTATATTGATTTCACTTCGATTTAGACCTTCGTAACCGTTGAAGAAACGTATAAACAACCAGTATTATAGCAAAGTAACATTCTTTGCAAATCACCGAATCTAAAAACTTATCCTACATCACAAGTGCTATGGTTTTAGCATACCTTTGAACTTATTCAACTTCATACGTCCCGAAAATGCCACGCTGGCCACGCCATTATGACCTAGCTAGTAGGCCTACTGGTTTGTGTGCGCGTTCAGCCAACTGAACAAATATGAATACCGCCCTATAATCGACTGAAGGGGGTTCCCCGCCGCTGCGGAAATTTCCACTTTTAAGACAAAACAAAGACAGAACGCGGGAGATTTGATTAATAATTTAAAAAATCATCCACGAAGGAGCCATGTTAAAAGTTCACTTGGTTTTTGCAAAATTAGCACGTAAGACCATTCTTACTTAAGATGTGAAACAAATAAAATATATAAACACTTTAGATACATGTACTACTGGGATCCTGGGAATGAGTGTAAAGGCTTAGTCGACAGCTTAGTCGGTAAGACGGTTATGAAATAAATAATAAATTACAGGTAGATGGGCTAAATGCCATCCCTTAACAAGTTACTACGAAAATGTATTCTTCAAAAGAACAACAACAACAAGATAAAAATAAGATGAAGAAAAAAAAACAGTATTCGCACTAGTCTCTCTCTCACACACACTCTCTCTCTCCCTCTCCAAAAGAAAAATAAAATAAAATAAATAAATAAAATAAACAAATAATTGTGACACTTGAGTATATAACTAATCACAGAAGGAGACAACATCAGTTGCTTACATACTTGAGCTTTATTTCATGGATGTTTCAATTAGTTCCAATAAAGCACAGTTTAAGGTAACGGTTCTTCATATTCACTGATACCCAAAAGATTTAATTTTGAAATCTCATTTAATATAAGAAAAAATTTTTTGAAACAAACCGAAAATGTTTCAGATAAATAGAAAAATCATTCAATATAAGTTCCAATTTGTAAATTGCTTTTTATTGTCTTGAGTAACTGCATAATCTGCTTCGGACATAGTATTGATATTATCAGCCATAGTAGCCATAAACGGCGCCGTCTCTGGTTCGGCGTGGATTACGTCGAATAGGTGAAGGTTTCTTCTTTCTGAAAACATAGAAAATCTTGAAATTATATAAAGGAAAGTGAAAAGCGAACAAGTTGAGAGTGACGGGAGGGATGCATGAGGCCTATGCACGCTTATATTTTCGAAATCACTACATTCAATGACGATCCATTTCCAATATTAGCGAAAATAACGAAGTCGTCCACTTCATGTGATACTTATTTATTTATAAATAAAAATATTTCCGAAGAAATCTTACCGTGGCATTTTGACGTAGACAATTTTCTGAGATGGAGTCTCTTGTGCAAGATAGGCTGTCAGGACGAAAAAGGACAGTGCAGCTAAAGTGGACAACATTCCCAGCCACTGGCATGGAGTTCCAAAAGGTATGAAAGTGGGAACCCTCAGCAAAACGAAAAGTCGCTCCAACAGTGAATTTCCAGGAAGCCATATCCCCCGGTACAAAATAAGAGGCAGAAGAAGTCTGGTGATGAATTCGACGCTGAAATGATAATATTCATTTTTATTATGCACCACTATAATCCAAAGAAATTAGATAAAAATCGGCTCAGCACTGGTAAAGTAGTATCAGGTTGAGCAATTTAGATTTATAATTCACTGTCTGCAATATTATAAGCAATCATTTTAATTGTGCATGTGATAGGGCCTATCTGCTATATATGAAATAAATAAATAAATAAATAAATAAATAAATAAATAAATAAATAAATAAATAAAAATTAATAAAAAGCTTAAAGAGATCCAAATGCACGCACTGGAAGAAGACATGCAAAAAAAGAAAAGAAAAAAAACGTAATGTAGGGGCAGCAAATACATCTTAACTTTTGTATATTAATTGTGTCTGTCATATCCTACCTTCCTTTCAGTGTTTTCAAGAGTGTTTGAAACTCAAAATGCATCAGCGCCAGGTTCAGTGAGCCCGCTAGAAAGATCCATGATGCAAACACTGGGCTGAACTCTATCCCTTTGTTCAGTGAATAAATCAGGTCTTTCAAAACGGAAAACAAGCCACAGAACGAAGAAGGCGTGGCTGTTCTGCTCAACCACTCCATCTTTGTTGTCTCCTGTCGCTATGGTGATGTTTTTATTTATTTTTTTCCATCACGTTGCTTGAGTTGTGACGTCACAATAAAGTATCGTAACAAAATGCGTATTGTCTTTCTTCAAAAATATTTTAAATTCTTTACATGTGTTAATTGTTGATTGCAATTAATTTTTTTTCTGAAATAAAAACGATCAGATAGACATTAAGATGATATTGGTAGGCCTAATAAGATGCATTTGAATTTATTTCCCAGTCCCGCAAAAGCCGACCAAATGACATCATATAGTTTCAAATAGGCCTACTATTAAGAAATAAGAAAAGGCATTTTCATATAACTTTTTTTTTGAGCGAATGGAATGTTAATTAGGCCTACGTCGTTTGTTTATGGCGTGATCTTAACTCAATGAACCGAAAACAAGGCGGTTGTTCAGACAAATATTGCCGCGTTATAGGAAAGGGTTCGTCTTGAAACGGGCGACATCTATATCCACAAGCAAACAGCATGGCCGTAGATGTTCGGCTAGCGTGTGCTCGTGTTGACCGTAAAGAGTTGCCGTTTACAAACGATCAAGCACATTTAGTGACCCCAGGAGATGTTATTACCACAGACACGGGTTTTATGCGGTAGGCTGTTGTGTTTAAGAGACACTTTTTACTTAAAATCAATTTCTATTTATCCGAACTGAAAGCGGCAACGACAACGCCGCTGTTGACAACTATCAGCCTCTCTGGCTCTGTCCAATCCCTATTAACGGTTCGTATCTTTCCAGTGGCCATGGCACTTACATGGAGGATGAGAAATTACATGCTTCAGTATCAGGAACGGTTGAGAGAGTCAATAAACTCATCTGTGTGAAACCACTCAAGACAAGGTAAGTGATAGGTGGGGATGGAAGGAAAGTGTTTATAAATTAGTCGACAAATTCATAAGCAAGTGATTTCTACCGATGGGCAGCTAGAATCAAAGCCGTATTTGCATGTCAACGCAAGTGACGTGTTAGTTGATCACTTATCAAATATTTTTATTTTGCCCCCCCCCCCCCCCCCCCCCC